GAATTTTGGCTGCGGGCTCCAGGCTCCAACGTATAAACAAAAATAGTGACAAATTTTACATGCTTTCCCAATTTTCCAGATAAGCAGTAACATTTTCAAGTCACTAATGGAAAGCTGGTGTATTGTTTTCCTGAAGAATCTTTTTTTTTTCGGACAAAATTAACCTAAAGAAGGTTTCCGAACCTTTTATTTCCAACGGTATACAAGAAGTTTCGGTGCGATGACACAGTTTTACTGACAACTCCCTTTACATATTGCATCCATATAAGCAACCCACGTGAATATAAAAGCAAGAGATCCTCTCAGCATGTTAGGGGAGCCTTGTTTTCTTAACAGTGAAATGCCGAAAAAAAAATCATTTTTGTCAAGTACAACCAGAAGCCATAATCGATTATCGCTCCTGGTACAAATAAATCAACCGAACGACATCCTCATCGCGAACTTTATTAGCAGTTCACCGTTCTTTCCATCATTGTAACCTGCATTATTACCTGAGCCCCCAAGTAGGGCTATAGGGATGCACAGAACTGAAGCTGCGCAGTGCGTTTCTCCGCTCTGAAATTATCAGCATAACTGAAGGAAGGATGAAGGATAAGAGGGTTAATCCTTCCATGTTATGTTTAGATCACTTCCGACTTCAGAAATCCTATGGTAGTCTGCAAATAACAAGTACTACGACTTGGATTTACTTAAAGGGACAGCCCAAGTTGCTTAACACGCTATTTTATCCTCCGAGTCAACATCCGCGTAACGCAGATGGTAACTGATCCGCGAAAGAGCTGGGTACCAGTGACATTGAAAAAGGCCTACATGGAGTGGAGACCTACCTTGAGTTAATAGCTTCCTTAACTTTGATCCTCACTTGCGTAACTTCATTAAAACTGGCCTAATTCTGGCAGTGATATTAGAAGGGGTTTGAGGGTAGGGTTTTTGCTCATATCAGTCGTTAATGGAGTTTCTTCGGCCTTTGTTATGGTTTCACTGCCAACGCTTGCCGCTAAAATATTATCAACGCGACTCTAAGTACCATATGTTCTTGGGATTGTGACTCGAAGCATGAAGTAATGCCTCTGTTTTTGTCATATAACAGATGATATAGGCATCCTGGCGTAACCTGTAGTATAAACTCCATTGCAAAGTCATTTACTTCGGTTATAACTGTTTTTTCTTGGTACAGTCGCCGAGTTAAATCATTGATGAAGAATAGAAAGATAAAAATACGCTTCTTTCGACGTCTGTAAGTACTGTATTCAACTTCTGTCTATCTTTCGTGCCAAAAGCCTTGCATTAAAATTAAGATGTTGGATTTAAGTGAAGAGTTAAATTTCCCACTTTACTTCAATTTGCATGTTCTTATCACATGAGAAGAGGCCATAAATTGTCATTAGCCACATTATATTTAAGAGCTATTTAACCATGAAAAGCAATGAAGACTTATTCCACAAATTTGAATAACTGCCTCGGGTCAAATTTCGTTAATGTTAAAATCCATATTAATTACAGGTGTATTTTCTTTTGTTTTGCTCATTTTAAAAGCCAAGTCTCACGTTACACCTGCATTTTAGCCGATGCCGTAATTGGTCATCAACCCTCCCAGATAAACATTTACCATTTTGATGAGGACAAGACACTTACCCGGTGAGATTGATTCAGCTGAGATCGGTTAAGTGAGCTCCGGAAGAAAAGCACATGAATCGACCAATTTGAGAGCATTTTCAGGATCTCCAGTTTTATACCACTGATCATCATCTCCAGTTTTACATCATCCAGTTGTTTCATCTGAGGTAAATATTTATTATTATAGACCTAGAGTGTTTTGCGACGACGCGAGAGAATATTTTTGTTATCACGAGTATAACAAATACGTAGGCACATATGTGAATTTCATTTCTAGACGCAGAATGACTCTGTGACTCTACTTCAGCACCGTTTTAAATTTAACACTAATAATATTTTTCCCTGCTACGTAGCGCAGATCTGTTTTTTCGCCAGCAACGTAGGGAAAATATTTTATTTTTGACATCTTAAACTGCACAAAGACATAATGGAAGGTAGGAGGAAATAAATTAGCCTATATTCAGAATTTTCTGCATACTAATCTAAGATAACGAGGTTTAGCTGTGACCGAGACTTTCGATCAAATTTTAGCCATATCCCACGTAAGTCAGTTGTTTTATTTACCCAAAAGGCATTATTCAGAATTATGTTTTCTGATCTACCGCCTTTGAGTTAATCAACCTAACAACGTCCAATGAGACGAAACTGAGTCCTCTGTCATATCTGAATATTATTGCTAAGCGTCGTCCTGATATCATGCAACTCTCTTTTTCATGTAAATTTCGAGTCTTGGGATATTTTGCAGAATTTCATGAGAAGCAACGTATACTGCACGGCTGCTGTCAATGAACAAATTCTCTGCGAAGAGAATATTTTGCAGTGTTGTGATTATTTTTGTGTGTGTGCACCCTTATTTGCAGAAGCACTGAACGGGAAATTAGCTGTCTCAGTTAAAAGCAAACCTGGGTCATTTATTGCTCTCAAATAAAGTTTTTGCCGTTTTGGCTGTCACCAATAAAGCGAAAGCCGAACACAGGGCATATAGTTTGCTCAGTAGCTAAATTTATGTCCGGTAAGTTGACAGAAAGGATATTGCATTGCTTTTCGGACGTTGAGCGGCCACTATTATTTCAGTAAAATGTCGGTCCATTTGAAATATCGATAATTTTAAGTTTGGATACATAGTGAATTGGATCATTGCACAGAAAACCAGACAAACTGTGTCACCACGTAGAGTAGAGGGTAAAAACTCACCCATAACGGATTTCAGGAGCCACCCATACATCAGATATAAAATATCACAGCGAAAGACAACAGGGGAATTTTTCAGTTAACACTCAGGTATTCACTCACTTTTCTGTGAAGAAAAAGTACACATTTTTCGGTAGAATTTATGACCCATGTAAACTATTATGATACATTTGTAGTTTAAAAGCTTTGGTCACCTGTATTCAGGGCGATATCGCGTTCCTTTTGTTACATAACTAGATGTTCAGAAAGCATTCTGTGCCGCCGGGTACCTCAATCAAATTACAAACGGTGAACCAGTCTCAGTTGTGCTGGCTTAGAGTTCAAATTACTCCCTTCTACACTGGAATGTAGTAACAGTTAGTTCGCTAAAAACGAAGTGAATGAGCATAGTTTAGAAAACAACGGATCCGATAAGAACAACCTTCATTTTTCAAGGTTAGGCAAAAGTGTTTTAGCTTGAAAAGGTAAGCGAAATATCAAAGTATCAGTAACACGAGAATACAATCACAAAGTGCAAGTCTTCTCTATAACCCTTTTTCTTCTTTGTAGCGAAGGAGTGCAAAAACGCGTTTTTAAGCCAAACACGTGCTCAAGTGACATACTCATTCGATTCAGCAATCACGTTATATAACCATCACTGATGGCTTATATAGAAACCAAGAACAAAGACAGCATGTTTCAATTTTTTTTTCCTTTTCCGTCATTTTCCTCCTCACGAGGGTTTCAACCGCATACGTGAAAGTATGTACGAGCATACTGAGTTTTACACACCTGCGGGAGTCATTTGGACTGTAAACAAGAAGCTTGAGAAAGCTTTAGACTGCGCAGCTTAGTTGCTGTTGCCCGCGCAGGGGCACGGGGTAAGTCATGAAAAATGGAACATGACCATCGCTCGGTTAAGAGAGCTAGGGGTGAATTCACCTGCTGGTTTTTCATATAAGATCGCCCCCAAAGCTATTCTTCTTGCCCAGAAATTGAGGAAAAAATCGAACCCTATTTTTCCAAATCTGTGGGAAACTTGGCGGGCATACAGTTCAAGCCCAAAACCATTGTAGGTTCTCTCTTGACTTATTGAACATAATAGTTTCCTCTCACTGTCCAAAAAAAAAAAAAGGAAGACGAGACAGAATGCTGGTAAACATAACATCTGCAAGATATAGCTTCGTATTTCATTCGGCCGGGGAAAGTAGAAATGTCCATAGCCGCTATATACCACATAATCCAAAGTAAACCAGCTTGACGAAAAAAGAAATCTCGTGGTGGCCGCCTTCATAACGAAATGCCAATTTAAAAGAATGTAGACGGCCACTTAAATGTGGGTTTCTCTGTCTTCTGCCTGTACCACGTGACTTCTGAACTCTGAACTATTTTAAAGCTGATCGAAATTTGCCTACTCAAAATCATGTTTCTTTGATTGAAGGTAGACAAAACAAATTAAAAAAAAAAACATCAAAAGGAACACCAAGCTCTTGTATTTAAGGTTCAGAAATTAGGAAATTATATAGGTAGGGGATTCCAATTGGTGTACAATATTCCTTCAGAAAAGGACTAATGTTAGATTATTATTTAGCAATTACATACAGCTTAATTAAATTAGGATTACTCCATCAGTTGTGAAATAATTCATAGCGGCCTTTTTATTTTTTTGGAGTTTACTACTGCCATCGACGTTTTTTTTTTTTTGATCGGCTTTAGTTTTAATTTCTTTTTAATTAAAACTCGCATTGCATGTTAGTTGAAAGGTAATTTGCAGTGCTTTACTATTTGACCGTACAGTTGTTTTAATTAAGATTCTCTCTTAGTCCAAGCTAGTACGTTGACAATCCTTATATTCATTAGTGTTAATACCATTGGAATCACCTTGGAACTTAGAAAATATAAAAAAGCATTTTTCAAAATAATTACCAATATTATTGCTATATACTTTTAGTCCAAAAATATTATTTAACTTTCTAGGTAAATGTGTTTGCTTTCCGGATATTTCATAACATCATATTTGATCAAGCGATTCACACTTAGGCACAAAGACAATGGCAGACCTTGGTAACCAATAATATGCAAGGGATTTTTTTTCATGTCACTTTTCCTGCCTTTTTTCTCAGGTTAAGCCTACCACAAAAAAAAAAAAATCTCTCGAATTAACTCAACAATCCCGAGCAACGTGATCTTTTAATTACAGAAACTCAGAAAAACGAAGCAACAATTGAATCAATTTTTAAACTAATCAAGTTTCGTTGATTTCAAGGAATAATTTTAAATGAAGGCTGGAACTGAAAACTTCAACAGCGGAAGATAAAAGAAAGACCTGAAATTTTAAATGAAGCCGGATTTATTAATATCAATAATATATAATGTTAATTTTGATAACAATACAACATTTGAATCGAATAATAAAGTGCACGCATGGATTAAAGTTTGCATCGTGAAACTTCTTACAGACACCGACAAAAACAATATCACAATTTTTGGTTTCACAATGGAGAGAGCCTCAATCGCCTCTGGAACCAGTGAGGCCTAAACAGTATACTGAATTTGAGGTGTTTGGTTCATGTTCACGGGCTAATTCAACGAGAGGGAAGCCGCTACGCAAATACGAAACAAAAAAACGTAAGTTATATACAATTTGTTTTCAGAATTTTACGACTGTGAGTGAGAGATTTGGCACTTCTTCCACGAATGTGCTATTTCCCAACTTTGTCTCTTCTTGCTCAATTTTCAACATGAATGTGACGCATATTTCAGTAGAACCCGAGCATTAGGCACAACTTGATGCCGAAGCAAGTAATTTATAAACACAATCGGTAAGAAATTGTTGTCTTTTTAAGTGTTCTGTTTCCGTTTGAATTTGCTATCACAACTTGATCATTACTATTTTACCTTTTTTAGCTAATATTGAAGGGGAATATTTGAGAACTAGGAGCAAAATGGTACGCTGTCATTGTGATTGATAGCTGAAACTTTCCTTTAAACAAACCTTAACGGATAATTATTTTTCAAAAAACACAAAAAAGCTCTAAATTTCTTCTGGCCTTCCAGTAATTTCACTTGCCTTGTTTTAATAATCTGTCCCTTCCCATCCCTCTTCTTTGGTTTTTTTTTTTTTTCAATCTCTCTCTCCTTCAAGGATTCTCTGTGAGAACCTTAACAATTATGCATAGAAGTAGCGTTTGTATTTTGGGGTCAAAAACCCTCGCTAAAATTATTGTTGTTGGAATCACATCATAGCATCAATCTTTGTGGGTTATCTAATTTAATACCAAAGCGAGTTTCAGAAAGTTAAGGTGATTTGTGTCCGCTAAACAGATAGTTAACTGAACGAATCTGGCACCCTGGAAATTAAAGAGCACGTCCGTTGAACATGTATAAGGGCCATTTCTTTCAAATGGAAATTAAAAAAAAAATTTGAAGTGAGGTGTAAAAATGTTTATGACAGTTTTCCAATTGGAATGCCGCCTTAAAACAACAGATTATTGCTCACAAAAGAATTCAAGAAAAGGTTTTTCATCATTAGGTGAGCAGTCGTGAATAGCATCAATATTAATAAGATGAAAGTACTTTTTTTTCAACGAAGTGATTGCCTGCGAAACCCTACGTCAATAAAAACTCCAGAAATACCACATTAACGTCACACTGAACCTTAATTCTCTCAATCGAGAAAAATTGTCTGATTGTACACCCACACATCTAGCGGGCCCTGGATTAAATCCCATGATTATCATAGTGGTAGCTAAACTTGAAGAAATTTATAATGAAAAGAGCACTTCTTCCTCTTTGCATGAAAGGCTAAGTACTGCCTAATCATGGTCAATAAGAAAAGAACGTTACTTTGTGGTCACTTATTGTTATGGTGATTGACAGCTTTGTCCAAGACCTAAATGGATTTGCTTCTCAGTTACCAAACACTTTACTTTCAGACAGAAAGAGGGGCTCACCTAAGACCAATATACTTTTCAATAGCCACCCGAGGCGACAAAGCGAATACGTAATATCAAGTCGACAATCGTGGACACAACTAAACCATTGCCTTTTTATTCCCATATTCGAGCCACGGAAGGATTGAAAAATATTTCTAGCTTCTTGCTGAATTAAGGGCAAGCTCCAATAAAAACCGTTTCTCACCACTAAATGACTAAAACGAACAAAGTAAACAACTTGGCGAAAAATAATTCTTGTTCCCGAATCTTGCATGCGCGGTTGTATAGTACAAGAAATGCCTTTAGCATATATGTATACATTGCATTATTAATGAAACAAGCAATTAAAGAAAACGTGCCTTCATAAACAGAGGAAGTGCTTGGATGAGCGCTAAGTGAGTAGATTTGTGGACGATTTTTGTTATGATAACATAGCCCCTATACAGAAATTACAATCACATGATCTGAGTGACATCACATGCGGCTGGTACGTTTTGAAAGAAACTGTTCCCATCGATCTCAGTATTACAATGTATCCGCTCTCCAAACCGTGCGCGTTTGGCTCGGAAAATTGCGCAGAACGTTGGCTGAAAATGGCATCTCAGGCAGGCTTACAGGTGATTTTAGTTAGTTGTATAACAGTTACATCTGTGATATGCGGGATTTGTGTTACTTTTCTGTCCCGTTTTTGTAATCCTGTGTTATGCTAAGCTGATTGAACGATTTCGATATCGATAAACGGCCGAATTCATAAAAGCCGATTTAGACTAATGTGAAAACTCGGCAACCAGTTTGTCGACCTAAAACTGGAATATTGCTCCGACACAATTTTTGTTCCTTATTTTTTGGCTCGTGTGATGCAAAAAAGAGTCCTCACATCTCTCATACAATGAGCCGCTAGTCATCAGATTAAGGTTTTGTTTCTAGCAACACAGCTATTTACTGAAGAATCAATTCACAAAATAAACACAATATATATTTCAGGAGTGCGGACATCAAATATTTTCAATGCGAATACTGCAATTACAGATTATTGTGGACAAAAATGACATCTGTCGAGCACTTTAATGAAACTACCTGAAAATTGAGCAAGCAAAATTAAATCACAAAAACTAGGAAAAACTGTATTGAGCAACATTATAAATTTTTAATTGTGATCAAAACTCATTACAATTTAACCGTTGAACTGAAGACGTGTTAGAAAACAGGAACAACGATAATGTTTTTACCATGGTACGCAAATCTTCGCCACAATCGTCATAACCTGGCGTACCGACAAGTTTTCAAGTGCTATTTGCCTTGATTACTTAACGGATAGCGGAAATCAATCAAAGACAAGCTCAATAAATATCAAATACCGTTATTATTCTGCTTCGGGTCCGAAATTTTCCAGTCCACTTTTAAAGCTAAATCAAAAATCATAACGCCAAGGTTTTTTGGCAGTGTTAATGGCGCCAGTTTTAATGACACCTCTAAGGTCGTTAAATTGATTACGAAGAAAAGTCACTTCATTACATGTTGCCATAGCAGTAAACAAAATAGTCAAAACATAGGAAATTTGAAGAAACTTGGACAACAGCAAAAAGGTTTCGTTTAACCTGATCGGAAATAACTGGATTCGAGGCTGCAATATACTCTATTTTGATAGTAGAAAAGACATTTGTTGTTCCAAAAATACAAGCCTTACTGAATAAGACCTATTCACTACAGAAGATAATTGGTGCCAGTTCAATTTGAAACCGTATCGAGATTAAACCTCTAAATCCTTGTGATTTTACTTAAGCCTATTGCAGAGCTGCTTTTAAATGAAAAAATAGATTTTTTCATTATTTTAATGTTTTCCTTTTTCTGGTGAAAAGAGCTACGGTTGTTTTCTCCAGAAAACTTAACTGTAGTCTCTGTTTGAATAACAGTTTGGATATCAATTATTTAATTTTGTTCTTAGAGGTTTCAATGAGAATTTTTGCTCGAATTTTTTTTTCCTTTCATTCTGATGGGTGTTTTTGCAAATGTTCCATAAACGATCGCGAGTTTAAGCACGTGTAGGATAGTTTTCTGAAGCGGTGACAAAATTTGAAGTCAGTTTGAAATTAAACTCACCAGTTTACTGCCGTTATTCTGTGTTCTCGATTGCAAACTGAACGCTGGATGTTAATAAAGCTAATATAAATCCGAAATTCTGTATCAGTTCTCAAAATTTTTCCCTCAAAGTTCCCAGAGAAGTTTTCGTGCAAACTCAGGCAGAAAACTGGCGTCAGTTATAATTTATTTAAGCGAGGCGAAACGTAAGATCATTAAACAAATTAGCACTTAACGAAATACCTTTCCTTACCCAAAAATCTTATTGCTGTAACTGACTGATAGATCGTCACTTCATGCTTTACTCCTTTAATTACTCGCATTGATATAAACTATTTAAATGTTTCACAAAGGAGTGATAAATTTGATTTGACATTAACTCCAAGGAAAATTCACTGCACTGTCACGAGAAAAAAAGGCTCCCCCAACTGCAATTCAGCACATGGTAATACAAATCTATATTCGATAAATGAACTCGCAAAACTACTTTAGTATCGACAATATTATTGGCCTTAGAATTACTAATACGATGATTTAGAGCTAAATGAAAACGATCTTTCTTTTCGAAACCTTGCCGGACCTTCCTTCCAAATATGGTTATCAATATATTTCAATCTAACGTTAATTCCTTGAAGCCAAAGTGAAGTACAAAATATCTTACACCTTTGTGGTCCCGTCATTTCCAAAGACAAAAACGTTTTCATAGTTAATGGCCATGATCGTGTTACTAATTTGAAATTTGCCGACCTGAGGAGCAAAAGAATTAAACAAAATACGCCCGACATACTTGTTCAAAAAAGTCCATTATTTCATTGTTATCTGGCCATACTAAGCATATGAACTTTGTGCCAACACCTGGGTCAGCTTATATTTTTCTCATACATTAAATCGGGTTCAAAATTAAAGTGCTTCACATCATTTCCTGTAGCCGAGTGTCTGAAAAAAAAATAAACCAGAAACAACTTCCAGAGTTTGTAGCGCGTGAGCAAGTTCGGTTCCTTGCTTCAGTGTTATTTTATGATCGTCATCTTTCGATAAAACACTGAAACCTCCGAGGTAAGGATTTGTTTCCACCTTTTAAAAACGTTTTGATGAATAGAGTTTATCAATCCTAGTTTTGCTGCGACAAGGTGAACTTTCCATATAAAGGGCTTTACATAAAGATCAGAGCTCTACATATTTTGTAACAGGCTAGATGTTTTAAGGACTTTAAGCGCCATTTTTTGTCCAAGAAAATGAAAGCGTTCTGCAATCGGTATATCAAGTTTTCAGTTAACCGTCGTTAGAAAAACACTGTTGCGTGTAAAAACTTCAATCTCAAAAAAATATCATGATTTAATAGAAAATTTAAACAACAATACGGTTTTACTTTTATTTTCCTGGGGATAGATGAAAACTGAAGTTTGGTACTCATGACTAAATGCCAAGTTTCGCTTGGGATACAAAACATTGAAGAAAAAACAAGGGATGAAGAAATGGTCGAGAAATTTCAATGTAAATAGTGATAATACTGAGAAATAGATAATTTGAATAATTAAAATATTCAGTGCAAATTGGAATTTCCAAAAATAAGCTCAATGCAAGATGTTAATGAGATCACAGACCGTTGAAGACAAGAACAAGAACAGACAACAGATGCGTCAGACCAAGTGGAACACAATCAATTTAAAACAATATTCTTTCGAGATGGCTTATACACGTATTCTTACAGTCTTTGTCTGAAGACGAAGGGTTCTATTATGTGGCAGATAGTTTTCGCTACAGAAAATGGTGTTATTGACCCCCGAAGGGCATTTAATAAAACTATGTCTTTGTGCAGTAAGATGATATCAGCTTGAAGTGAATGCGCCAGCTGAAACGGAAAGCCCATACCCAGCGTGTTGCCCTTTCAAGCGAACAATTTTAAGGCATAAATTGACTCTTCGTTAAACACAAGTCATTTTGGTGAACGAAAGATAAGTCTTGGAAAACAAGGAGAAAATACCTTCTACTGTACCCCGTATGTTCCTTCCAGAACGGTCTGCAGATGAGGTTTGTGAGAAAACTAATAACTGCCCGTGTTGACGTAAAAATATGCAATCGAAATTTCGTTTACGCTTTTGCCTTTCTCTGTGCATGATAATTATACAAAACAGTTCTACATTTTCCCAAAATACTGCATAATTTAGGGCATCAACTTCATATGCCGAGCCTAGAGTTGAAACTTTGAGGCTTTTCACAGTTCGGGAAGACGGTTTTGTTCTATACACATATTGAGCCAGGACCAGCTGTTTTTGTGCAACACTGCAAGCGGCGATTTCTTACTGCTCTGTGAAACTAAATTCAAGAGTTTTACATACTCAGTTGAACCCCTGGTGCATCTTCAACGACTAAATCATCCAGATTACGATTTTTCAAAAGTAACTTGATCATAATCCTAGCATTTCCCCCCATTTCAAAGTTTCTTGACGTGGGATTTTGGTGAACTTTAAAAATCGGCTTAGAACGAATCAAGACGTAAAGGAAATCAACTCGTGTGTAATTTTGGCTTTGCAAATGTACGAACCAGCTCGAACTAGGCCAGAAACGGTTATGTTGAGGCTATGATGTACTCATTAATCCCTGAATGACGTATCCAAGCAACATGACCATGTCTATTTCCAAAGCTCATGTGCCAATATTCACCAATATTTGAATTTAAAAAAGCGTATAAAAGGATCTATCTTCTGCGCAGCAGGACCTCTACTTTAAAGGATGACTACGTATGTGCAAAAGTCCTGTCTCTTCATAATATAATTTGTGATGATTACATAAGGCTCTTTTTCATGTTTGAGTTTCTTTGATGCTACTCGTTGTTTGTTTCAAATTTAATCTTTTTCACGTCTGCTGAATGCATTTATCTTTTTAGAACGATTATCGAGCAATTCCCCTGAGAGCTTAACAGACAAAGCTAGCCAAAGAGGAGCAATCATGGCAAAACCAACAGACGTCGACGTGAAATGAATTAATTACAGTAGCTGTAGCTATTCAGAGACCTATCAACCAGAGTCTCCCAGGACTTTCCCTGTCGGGAAGTCGCATTTGCTACTGCCCTTGACATAACTGACAATTACAAAAGACCAAAGCAATGCTATCGAACAATGAGTGGTGTAAATTAAGGTATCGCTGCAATGTTTTGCTTCAGATTTTTGAGCTGCAACTCAAGAGAAGACAGAGAATAGCTAATTACCTGAGGGCAGTTAGAAGCGATGAAAACAGGCGCGTTCCTCCTTTGGTTTCTTTCGTTACTGGAAGTATGCATAGCTGTAGAATCATGGGCTCCCTAGACAGAAAAGGAATGTGTAGGGGAGGGGTTGGGAAGGTGTCACATCGGCATCTTACCGCGGATACATTCTACGTATTAAGATAAAACCTGTGAGGATACGCATAGTTTTCTGCCTAAAATACGGCGAGAAATTTCCCAGTGGGGTGTTATTTAATTAGAGTGTAATAAGTTAAACCTTGTATTGGCCCACTAGGAAGGTTTTTCTGAACATTAAATTGAAAATCGTGTTCTCCATTTCCTCTTAGCGTGATTCCATTTCTTCACACGGTTTACAACATTGACATCAAGAAGAAGTCATGGCAGACTTCAACTCCACGTCATCAACTCCTGCCAAGTCTTCCACCTTGACAGTCAGCAATATCTTCCTCATCGCTTACCTCTCGTTGCTAGTTGTCACAGCTCTGGGCGGTAACGGTTTATTGGTGACTGTAATCATCAAAAGACAACTCCTGCAAAAAGTTCACTATTATTTCATATTGAGTCTTGCAACTTCGGATTTCTTAAACGCTCTGTTGAAGATACCCACTACCATCCTTGGACGTTTTGATCGCAATTGGTACCCGAGTTATACAATCTGTTATTTCACCACCCCTCTAGGGGTGCTTTTTGGCGCGGCGTCCGTGTTCAGCTTGTCAGCCGTTGCCATCAACAGATACCTCGTCATTTCGTCGCCACTGAACTATACGGACCGAATGCCGTCGTACCTGGCTAAAACCCTATTAGCTGTGATTTGGTTCGGCAGTCTTTGTTTGGCGATCCCGCCAGTGATGTGGAGAGAAAAGGAGGCCATTTGCCGCAGCGGAAAGATCTCCGAAGAACATTACACGTCCGAAGTGCTGTACTTCTTCCTAGCGTTATGGCTCTTCGTGATCGTGATACCTTGTATCGTAATGAGCGTGTCGTACGTGAAAATTTACCTGATCGCGCGATATCACGCCTTACAAATAGACTCCCAAAACCAAGCCAGTACACTGTACCAGCAGACCAGGAAGAGGAGAAAGGACTTAAAAGCCGCTGCGGTCCTGGCTGTGATTGGTGGAATTTTCATTCTATGCTGGCTTCCTTTCTTCATCGTGCAGACTGTTCACAAGTTCGGCAAAGGGCAAATAAGTCCGATCTATTTTAACATTTTTCTTTGCGTAATGTACACTAACTCAGCGTTGGACCCCACGCTTTTATTCCTGTTTAACGCCGAAATAAGAAAAGCTTTGGTAAGGATGCTCTGCCGAGTATTCTTCAAACCGAAACCGCAGATTCCACAATCAGAGCTGTCTTCATTTCTCAACCAGGGAGCGTAACGAAAAAAACACAAAGTAAACTTTGTACAATATATCAAAAAAAGTCGCTAGACATAGTTCATCTCGCGGTAACGATCGTAAGCCTTTCATTAAAAAAGAACAGACGATAGATCGCCTTATACAACTATCATTTATTCAATCCATTTAGGTCGTGTTCCGAATACCAACAAACAAAGATTTAAAATAGATTTTATAAGTTGAATGATGATATGGGATTACATGACCTCCGTATGTGACGCGCTTGGGATCCGCCCTTCTAGGACCGTCATTCCCGTCCGTTAAGGGTTGGGTCAGAGTCCTATCCGTGTATACTTGCGTAGTCTGTAATCGGCAAATAAATGATCACAATAACTGATCACTTGTACTGTGACTTAAATTGTTTTTAATTTGTCTCGACTTGAAAAGAAATGTTCAAAAATGTTCAAAATTTGTTGTTTCTAGTGGACAATACGCTTAGCTACACCTAGCTAGCTCACAGGCATGTCACTTAAAAGAAATATTTCAGATAAACATAATAGGCTTAAAAATCCCAACCGGCGTGAGGCAGACCAACCAGTTGGCTATTTACAAACATGACCGAGGAGTTGAAGTAGTGTCTACCGAGAAACAACTCCAGCTTAGTGGTCAGAGTGGGACTTAAACCTGCGACCTCCGGATTTCAAGTCCGGCGCCCTGACCACTCGACCACGCTGCCTCCCCACAAGGACCAAGGAAGAGACGACGCTCGAAACCTCAGCTACCCAAAATCGCTCAGTATGGCCACGGCGGTAATATTTTAAGCTGATAACAAACAGCTAAGGCTCTCACTTACCCGTCGACGTAGCCCAACAGTTTCTTAAAAAGCTAAAGACTTCGTTCGTTCGTTGAAGACGAGGTAGTTTACGCGAGTATTTTATTTTTGTGAAGACAGAATTTCGAAGATAAAGACGTCATTTACAGTTGAGAGGGTATTTGAAACGTTAAAATGATGTTCCTAGACCCACGCGCAAGTGTTGTCATGACTCTTGGGAGATAGGAGGTGAAATAAAGTACGACAAGGAGGGATTGAACAATATGGGCGCTTTAGTTCCCTTTGTGGTTAGAAAGAGCAAAGTTATATGGAAACGGCAAAACGGGTTATTTTACACTTACTAGATTATAATATGCCTGTATTAGGTTAAAAAATCGACTTGCTTTTTGTACCAAAACAAAACTGGCGAAAATCTAACTGGAGAAGCTTTGTACAAAGATGCTTGACTTTGAGTGGAATGCCATCGTGGCCATCTACTTTCCTGAAATTGAAAACAAAATAACCTCTATCGGTAAAAGGCGGTTTATCGGGTTTTTTTGGACTTTGCGTTCCAAAAAGGATTAACTGAATGGTTTTTCATTTGCTTTCGTTCCAGTACATGCTCAGCTATCTCAGTATTTACAGATCACAGAGATTATATCGCGTTGAGAAAGCGCGCTCAAGATTAAATATTAGACGCGAGTTTGAGAGGCGTATATACACGCGTGGACGCTCTTGGAAGAAGCGCGCCAAAGGGACATCACTCGCGCGTTATACAACATGTACCACCTACATAGCTCGTGTTCCTTTTAGACGCAAATGTTAGAGAAGTCTCGGCTAAGGAGTTGTTTTCGAGGGACTGACTGACCGACCTTTTAAGGAGTATATCCTTTGCAACAAGTGCTGGAAAAAAGTAATTTTCCAGTCTCCGAACGACCCTTAACCTCCATTTTGAAGCATATTTGTTTCAAATCACCAAGAACAGGCATAGTTTGGAACCAGTGCTAAAATGTTTACAATTACCTGTACTTACCTAGTTAAAACAGAATCCCCATTTCTTGTCTTTTGTGTAATTGTAGGTTGTTGAACACCATTTCTTTGTGTGTCCGTCAGTAGTGCAGGAATGATATTCCTTACCATTGTACCAGAAGGGAAGTGCGCAGCATTGACCGGCGGAATTTCCGCCATAGGTGTCTACACCACTCTCACAAGTCTCTGTGGAAAAAGTGCTGGATTATAAAAGAGTTCGAAAACAACACCAATATTAATTCTCCCAAACTGCCCTCAATTCCCTTCAAATGAATAACCTGAAATGTTATTTATCTCTCGAGGGAGATAGGCTCGACTGCCACCGATTTCAGGCTAAAGGATGCCGCACATTAGCCGATTTTTTGTCGTAGAACTGCAGATTTTTTGTCGGGGTCAATCGGGTTAAAATTTGTCGGGCCACCAACTTGCCGCACACTAGCCGATTTTTTGTCGCGACTAGCCGCGTTGAGGTTTGGGGCCGAGTCATCCAAAATCAAGATGGCGTCTATTCCACTAACGAGACTCTCATGGCATTTCCTAATTAGCTGAGGCGCTCGCGGGCCCCGACAAATTGTCTTGGTCCACCGCACACTAGCCGACAAGGCCCGACAAGACGTTTTGAGATCTAGCACTGTCAGATATCGCCCAAAGAGCCCCGATCTTGTCGCAGACTTGTCTGAATTCACCGCACATTAGCCGACAAGTGAAGATTTTTTGTCGGCCGACAAAAAATCGGCTAGTGTGCGGCGATCTTAAGCAGCGAATAAGCGAGAAGAGAAAAGTAGCCGCGCGAAACCTGGCGTCGTGCATACTTCGAATCGATTGGAGAAATTTGATGTTGATCGCTCTGATAATTAAAAACTAACTGATGTAAAATGTTCTGTGGTTTGTTGAAGTTGAAACAGTGACCAATGATCACCTTTGAAACTGCCGTTAACTATATTCATAGCAGGAGTCCAGTGGGGCAGTGGAGAACCTCGTGCAGCAAGAACCTCGTGCAGCAATACTTGGTTGCCATGGTAATTGTAACTGACAGCAGCGTACAAAAAACATACGTTGATGTTAACGAATGGATTCCATTTTGCCATTCGGCTTTGAATTTGTAATTGGGACGTATCACTTACCGATCCAGCACTTGTCAGCAATGATAAAACTCCGGTAATCATACACTGTACATTTGGCAACATTGTTCTTGAAATCAGATTCAGCCACTTGGTTGCCGGGATTGAGTTGAACTCGAAGGTAGAAGGAGCCGCCGGAAATCCCGGTACAGTCCACCCACTGACAGTCAATCTTAGAACTGTAGATATCGAAACATCCGGGAGATAGGCCTTGGTCACCACCCCTGGTACAATTCCACCTCTTTTCGAATCCCGGATCACACTCCGTGTCCTCTAAACAGAAACTGGCTTTGTGTCCTTGAGCGCGTCTCATATAGTTACCCTTACCTGAAACAATAAATGCTACTGTTCGTCAAGTCTGTCAACTCAAACGAGAACACGAGCCAAAGAGAAAGCTCAAATTCTCGCTCCTGCTTAGCCTGTTCCAGGCTCTCTGTAAATGGGGAAGCACTCTCCATTTCTCGCCCAGACCCCGCTAATCTCCCGTACGCTAATTCGATCGTCCCTACTGACAGAGAGCCTGGAACAGGCTAGCTCGCGCTTGGCCGGTCCACCAAACTCGAGCCAAACCTCGTTACCATGGCCTGTCTTCTTCTCGGTCTTGGGAATCCAAGAAGAAAGACCCTGAGAACTGAACGAGGTTTAGTTGCAGGAGTGTAATCCCTTTCCATACTTCCGCAAAATGAACAAAATAATTTCAACACGCCGCCCTTAGCAAAAAAACATCGTACGTAGGTCCTATCGACCATTTTGTTTTTATCTCGTAGCTATTAAATCTCTGACCCAAACAAGATGATTTGCTTCTTTTTTTAACTGATCTTCTTTGAGAGCGAAAATACTTAACAGTCTAAGTTTATTTTCTTGGCTACTACTATTGTCCGGTGACAGTGGGCAAAAACTGCTTTCACCTGACCGAGAAAGTGGGCGTTGTTGCTGTAACTACGCAAAAAAACTACACTGCAGTAGTAGAATCAAGTATTAGTCTGCGAGAAATTTGCAGCATACGTACGTAGCCATGGAGTTTCATTATCCTTGACTCTATTAATCAGTAATTTCTCCCCTTTTATTTCGTACGATATGTACAGATACAAGTAAGGAGAATATGTCTGTATACTTACGAAGTAGATCATAACTGGCAAATGTTTCCATGGAGTGGTAATGTCTGTGGCACTGATGATATTGCCAGCCTGATCTGGGCGAGTTCGGTCGGAAGTGATCCCAACCTCGGTTTTCGATCTTGGTTGTAAACCTCAATAATTTTCGTAAACTGTATCGGCGAGCATAGTAGTTATTTTCATTCCTGCATGAGAAAAATGACAGCAATACCAATACAACGGGCTGATCGTGAATAGATTAAAAGACAACCAATTGATTATCTTAAGTAGAATGAACAGACTCATATGAGATACTCGTGCAGTGCATGAATATTTGAGTAAAAGATTTACTACTAATGACCTTGCAATATATATATGATACGTATAGTGTGTTATTGGTCATCACGTGATTGCGGCTTTCTGTGCAAAAATAGCAGCGAATCATAGACATTATATCGTTCGCTGTAGTGCTTCGTTGTCAGTTTGGGATGTTTGGGCTTGAATCTAAGGCGGTTTTTTCGCGGGAAATGTTGGGAACTTACACGGCGACGTAAGATGATTTACACGGGATATTGATTTATCGATAGCAACACCTTAGATCTCGCCTGCGGATATTGATATCCAATCGTAACACGTTTTGGTTGCCTTTTGTGCGAGTTTGGTTTTAGGCAAGGTTCTTCTCGCTAAATACCGATAACAGAAGCTGCGAGTCCATTCTCAACAACAGAGCCCACCTCAAATTTTTATATATAATCAAGGATTACTTCCCGTACTCGTTTTGCACAAAATCTTTTATCCTTTTTATCTTTTATCCAAATATTATTTACTACAGTTCAGTTAAGATAAAGTAAGAAGAGGCTTAGATACCTAGAGACGTCATCCTCGCTTATTGAGAGGCAGTTTTCCTCCAATGCACATTGCAGGGAACGCAAACGAAGGAACTTCAATTCCATTTCCCTCTGTAGTTTATCAGTGTCAATTACGAGATCTGGTAATTCTGATAACGAAAACAAAATTTGAAATCAATTCAAAATTCCGTGTTATGTAGCTCAGCTCTCAACCTCTGGATGTTACCTAATGCCCTCTCCCTCCCCTCCCCCTCC